AACCGCTCTGAATAAAGCTGATTCAGGCCTGCAAACTACGGGCAGATTACAACAGGCACTTGTCACGTCTGGTCCCTGCAGACAGACACAAGGCTGCCATGGCCGTAAATGGCTGCTTGAAAACACAGGACACTATAGCCCTAGGCTGGAGATGCTGAGGCATCAACCACCAGGCGACAGAAAGGACTAGTAAAGGGAGATTGGGCTCTGCAGAACCCATCATTAAGGGACCCTTCAATCCCCTGAAGGCTCCATGAACTTGAAGAACATGCCAGTGTAGAGGTGATGCTCCCATGAGAGAACAAGACCCCTGGGCGGGCTCACAGCTCGCGAGGACATCTGTGAACAGTCAAATCGTGGCGTGAGTGCATTCAGGGAGTTACCAGGCTGGCGGTACTACTGAAGCCGGAAGGGGGAAGGGGTGGGGCAGACAGCTCAAGTATCTTTGGCCTCTGGAAGCAGTTCTCAACCAGTAATTTTGTACCCAAGGTGGAGAGGGTGACGGTCTTGCCTGCAGTAGGGTAGGGAACACCAGCCGGCGCCCAGGACATGGTCCCTCCAGGCTGCACTCACCATCTGGGGGGTCCCTGCACAGGTATCACTTCAGTGGTTTCCACTGGAGAAGCTGGAAAACCTTCCATGGGGCCAATACATTTTCAAGAACTTGTTTTACTCCTTAGCTCTTAATGGGATTGACCACAGCTGTAAGTGATCTGCTCCCAGAATTAAAGGTATCGATCTTAAATGGGAAATCAGTAGGAAAAGGAGAAAGATTAAAAAAAAAACTTTGGTGCTCAGCTGCGCCTCAGAGGAAAACAGTCAACAGACACTGATTTTCCCTCGTGACTGGTAAAGCTACTCCAGAGCAAATTCTGAAAATGAACAAGAAAAGCAGCAAAATTAAACAGCAGTTAGGTCAGATCACAAAATGCGCTTCTTTTGTTTATGTTAGTTATGTGGATAGCTGGATTTTAATTAACCATGAGAAAACAACATAATATACCAGTTGCTGTTTGGGAAAAGAATGAATTCTGGAATTACTTGCTGTTGATCATTATAGCTCCTGACAGCTAAGTATTTAATGACAAGTAGATTGATAAGGCTGGGTTTTTTTTTTGGCTGTTGTGGGTTTTTAATTTCAAGAATCCGCCAATTGTTAGATTAAGGAAGTAATAAGTAAGACGCTGCAAGGTTCAACTGTAAACAAATTACCAACGAATGTCATTCCCAAGAACCCAATCTATAATGCTAATGAAATAAGAACCCCAGAATAGGACGCCCTCTGCAATCAGGCCCCAACCCACCCAGTGGCGAGGGCTGAGCTGAGCAGACAGCGCTGAATGACTTGCTGAGCTCGAGCTGGAGAAGCCATGTGAGAATCAAAAGGAGAGAAGGAAGCATTTTTCAGGCTCAAATCATAGTAAACTCAGCCAATCCAATCAGGTCCTATTCTCTCATTTTTTGTTTCTCTGCAGGAAGCCTCATCTCCAAGCACTTGGAATTCTCAAGGGGCTCTGGAAACATTTTTCAGAACACACAGGGGGGCTGTTGCATTCACATCGTTTTATTAAAATTCCATAACACAGGGCATCAGGCACCTAGTTTTGCTAGGAGCTGGCAATCAGGAAATTTCAGAGGTATATCCCATTCCTAAGGTAAAGAGGGATGACAAGTAAAGACTGAGGAGTATCTTATACCCCGTGAGTCTGAGTGTTATAGCTTAGTACACTGAGCCAAGATAAAAGGGGGGGTGGTATTTGAAGAATTTCTTTAAAAAGAAACAGAATAAATCTTGCATGTAAAGAGCGCTGTCCCTGCCAAGCAGAATTCTCTGCTCCGGAGCTAGGGGAAGAACACCCGCCTGATATAGAAACCTGCCAGAGGAGCTGGCTGCCGGGGGCACCTTCATCCTTGAGCTTCTTTGGGAACTGATAGAAGCTGGGGTTTATTTGGAGTCGGCATCAAGGAGAGTCTGCAGTCAGTTCTGTTCTCCCTCCCGGACGATGCAGCTGAAGCAGCGAGATGCTGAAGATGGGCTTTGGGTCAAGTTCACTTGGGTTTCCAAGGGTCATTCTGGTAACTCCCTGTCCAGTCAAATGGGGACTTGAAAAAACTGGACCCAGTGATTTTTAAAAATCTCTAATTTAGCTTTAAATTTCTCTGAGACTAGATGGCCGTCAAATCTGAATTCTTCATGAGCTGACACCAAGTGCAGGGAGCTCCTGAGCCCTCGGGGTGCAGAACGAACCCGGGGAGGCTTGTCTCTGACGCAGATGCTACACTTGCGGTTGGTCGAGACACTGATGACACAATCAAACACATGTCCTCAGACTGGGAAGCGAGAGGCTCCGTTTAATACGGTGGAAGGCTGCTCCGCGGTGTGGAGAGGGGCACAGAAACATACCCTCTACCCCACACCCCCAGGGTGCCTCCCCAGCCCCACCCCAGCTCATCTGGCCTGTGGTAGCCTTGGTAACTGAGTGATCTGAGGCACTTCACCCCTGTAAATCTTTTCTTTTTAATACGTTATTCTTCTTTTTTGTTTTAAATTAAAAAAAAATTTTTTTGACCGCACTGTGTGCCATGTGAGATGTTAGTTCCCTGACCAGGGATCAAACCCGCGCCGCCCCCTGCAGTGGAAGCACGGAGTCTTAACCACTGGACCACCGGGGAACCCTGGCCCTTACAATCTTGCCTGGTTGCTGGGACAATCAAACAGCGAAGACGGACTCTGAATACTGGAAAGGTCCCTGTCGTCCTAACGAGGGTTGCCATATGCATGTGGCAGCTGTGTGCCAACAGTGCCTGTGGGGATTACCTAGGCATCTTTCCCACCCCTCTAAGCCGACAGGGTCCCCAGAGAGGGGTGTGTAGACCCCACGACCCTAAGCATTCAATACCCATCCCGCGTTCTGATCATGCTCTGGAGTCCCCCGTAGGAGGAAACCTCTGGCAAATGGGGACCCTGAGTGTCGGTCTCCACGGCAGTGACTTCTTACTGCGCATCCACAGCAGGTCTTCCCACCATGTCTCAGCTTCCCAGGAGACAACTCAAGGGGAGACAGCAGGATCAGTCACGGTTTTTCAAGGTTCCGGTTGCTGTCACATGCATTTCTCTTTGCAAATTATTAAATAGGCATTCTGGATTCATTCAGCCTATGATTTTAGTTTGAGTCTGCCCCTGAGAGAAAATTTAGCTTTGATTTGCTGACAACAAAACAAAGCAAAGCAAAGCATGGGGAATAAAAATGAACAAGCAAAAATAATAAAAATGTATTTCCCTGGGTTCACAAAGCTAAGGATCAAGTCTTGGATAGTGATCAACTCAGTGTGGTAACGAATGTCCTGTGGCCTGTTTTTCCCAGGTCGTCACCCCATCATCGTGGTTACATGTGCAAGATATTTCAAACATAAAACCTAGAATATGGAGCTTCCCTGGTGGCGCAGTGGTTGAGAGTCCGCCTGCCGATGCAGGGGATGCGGGTTCATGCCCCGGTCCGGGAAGATCCCACATGGCGCAGAGCAGCTGGGCCCGTGAGCCATGGCCGCTGAGCCTGCGCGTCTGGAGCCTGTGCTCCGCAATGGGAGAGACCACAGCAGTGAGAAGCCCGCGTACCGCAAAAAAACAAAACAAAACAAAACAAAAAACCTAGAAGATGTTATACAAGTGCCCATGCACCCTCCACTCAGCTTTTTCAAATCTTAATATTTTGCAACCTTGGCATTTGATGCAGATTTTTCTCTTAGCATGTTTCAAAGTTTTATTTTACTGTTATTGGGAGTGCCACAAAGAACTGGTTTTTTTTCTGGCTGCGCTGGGTCTTCGTTGCAGCACGTGGGGCTCTTCACTGCGGTCTTCTCTCTAGTTGAGGCACGCGCGCGGGCTCAGCAGTTGTGGCACGTGGGCTCAGTTGCCCTGCGGCATGTGGGATCTTAGTTCCCTGACTAGGGATCGAACCCGCGCCCCCTACATTGGAAGGCAGATTCTTAACCACTGTGCCACCAGGGAAGCCCCATCATTATTATTTGATGATAGGAATTTATATATTCTGGATAGTATCCTTTGTCAGCCATATGCACTGCAAAAATCTTCAAGTCTGTGGCAGATCCTGTAATTCTGTTTAAGATGTCTTCTGTCAAACATATTTTTAAATTTTGGTTTCTCAAACTGTGGCCCTGGGGTAATGTTCAGAAAAAGGGTTTCTAACCTAAGGTCTCTAAT